GCTGAACACCTGGGAGGTGGGGGCGGGATTGGCCATTTGAAATTATGGGGGGGGGGGCAAAAAGTTATAGGAACCCATACTCTGGGTGCTCTTGGGAACCCTGGCCAGAAAGGTGGACACCCCACCACCACCACCCTCCCTCCCCTCATTCAAGGCAGCCCGTCCTCTATTCCCCTACTTTCCCAGAACCTGTCCCCACTCCATCTCCACCCAGTGTCAACCAGTGGGTTATGTGGACTCTTCAGGCAGTGCTATGCCCAGGGTGTCTCCTCACCCATCACTGCCCTTCCCCAGGCCCCGCCCATCCCCAGCACTCCTAGCCCAGCCTTCCTTCCTAGAGGGAGGAAGAGGGACATTTTCCTTCAGCAACCCACACCCTCCTGGCTCTGGATTATGCAACAGCCATCTCATTCTTTCCTAAAACAAGGGCTCTGGGCAGTGACTAAATTTAAATTCTGGGCCTCCAAGCAAGAATGCCAGGGCTTCCTGAACTTTTAAGAAAATATAAAATAAAAGAACCTCACTCTCAGCACTGCCCCCCAGGCCTACCCTGGGTGCCTAGAACCCGCATTTGGGGAGCAGGGTCTTCCAGCAGCCCTGAGACACTGGTGCAGTTGGCCAGGTAGGGAGGTGGGGGCTTGGGGGAGCGGAGGAGGCAGCTCTCCTCCACTCTGCAGAGGCTCTGTGACCTCCTGCCCCAGGCTCTGACCCCAGGGTGCAGAGCTTTGTCTTGTCCCCAAACCTGTATCGCTCTAATTTGCCCTGCACATGGCTCTGGCAAGGGCTTTTCTCTTGGGCTCCAGCTGCCTGCTCCTGAGACAGAGAGGCCTGTGGGAAGCTGGGATGGGAAGGAGATGGCTGTGCTCCCTGCAGGCTCCCAGTGTGGTCTGTTTTTATTTTTTATTGTTTGGGCTCCTCCTTTGTGAGTTATATTGCAGAAAAGCCCAATACTCTAGTCTCTCACATACACCACTCTCCTCTCAATACTCCCTCCTCCTCCTCCTCCTCCTCCTCCTCCTTCTTCTTCTTCTTCTCCTTCTTCTTCTTCTTCTCCTCCTTCTTCTTCTTCTTCTTCTTCTTCTTCTTCTTCTTCTTCTTCTTCTTCTTCTTCTTCTTCTTCTTCTTCTTCTTCTTCTTCTTCTTCTTCTTCTTCTTCTTCTTCTTCTTCTTCTTCTTCTTCTTCTTCTTCTTCTTCTTCTTCTTCTTCTTCTTCTTCTTCTTCTTCTTCTCCAATGAGCTATCCATTGCACTATCTTCTTTTTTTAAAAATATATTTTATTGATGTTTTACAGAGAGGAAGGGAGAGAGATAGAGAGTTAGAAACATTGAATCAGCTGCCCCTGCACACCCCCTACTGGGGATGTGCCCGCAGCCAAGGTACATGCCCCTGACTGGAATCGAACCTGGGACCCTTCAGTCCACAGGCGGACGGTCTATCCACTAAGCCAAACCGGTTAGGGCAATACTCCCTTCTTAAACTCCCCCTTACCCCTTGCCACATCTCTGCCATTACTACCACCCATAGAGATTTCCCCTGTTTAATGCTCCCACCTGCCCAGCGTGGTCCCTCCCTGCAGTCTAAACTGGGTTGCACAATCCAGTATCACCCACCACCTCAACACTGTACTTCCCCTCTCCCCTTCCCTCCAGCATGGAAGTCCAGAGCTGTATGCTGTCAGAGCTGGGGTCTGACCAGGCTCTTTCTTGCAGACTGGGACTCATGAATTTGCTTCTCTTCCCTTTGGGAAGGCCTCCACCTCAGCATCCAGAGCAGGGATCTGAAGCACATAGTGGGCACTCAGGATGGAGTGTGAGCCAAGGTGCAAACCCCTGGGAATCTGCTGGCCTCTGTGTGAGAGGAGTTTGCTAAAAGCTCCTGCCAGAGCTGCGAAAAGGCCCAGAGTGTGTTCAGGGTTCAATAGGCCCCAGGATAAATCAAAGAGGGCTTCCTGGAGAACAGGCGTTTACAACAGAGTTTGGGAGAAGAAATGAATATGGTGGAAGAGAGTGGAAGGAGGAGGGTGTCTCAGGAGGGACACCCTTTGTGTAACAGATACGAAGGTAAAGTATAGCTATTGTGTATATACATGGGTTAGCATACAGACTTATATTACCTAACTCTGTTCACTAAGAGGGCCTAGAAGCAATGACATCCCAACAGCAGTGAGTGCTCCTAGAATCTAGATCTTGGTTTCCAAATACCATTCTCCAATACAAGGAAACAGAACCTCTTCCAGAAACAGCTGCTTCTAGGCTGGAGGCAGGGAAAAACAAGATAAGCTGGAGTGTCTTGTAGAATCAGAAAGTAAGGAAGCAATCAGAAGGATGGAAGCATATCAGAGAGGTACGAGAACCAATCTGAAAGAGCTCCCAGTGGTCAAAGCTGAAAAAAATTTGTGCAATAAAAGAAATGGTACATATGTAATACTCTTTGTAATACTTTAAGCAATAAA